AAATATTTGTTGTCAAACAAACGATCAGCACATGCATCCGCCTTTCGAGCATCTTGACACTGAAGTATCATTTTTCCATAAATAACGTCATACTTTTAAATTCAATTGTTCTTAAAAATAGAGACGATAAATTGATAAATGTACAATTTTAGCATAATGTAATGGTGTGTTTAATACAAGAGGAAGAGATAGAACGGAAGACTATGATTGTATCAATATTTGATTTTTGATCGCGTGCTACACGATACACAGTGAAGATGATGTGGCAAAAACGACGGAACAATTTGCAAGCTTAACTGATTCCTTTCAACGGAATGCGTTATTTTCGCAGAGCATAGCATATCAGTCGCAGAAGATATAAATACGATCGAAATAACAGGTTAGTAATGGCAAGTCCAAATTTCAAGGTTAAAAAACTGTCGCGTGATTGCGGTCCAGTTGGAAACATGATCTATTGCTTTTGAAACTTGTTGACTAATTCATATCTTTCAACTGGATATTGTACTAGAAAGAATCAAGAAACTCAAGGTTTTGATTCTTATTATTGTTATTATTATATATTATTGTTATTTTTATCATTAAAATAGTTTTTAATATGTAATACGCACAAATAAAAGGATTAAAAAGCTTAAATATCTTTTAAGTTTGAACCATCTGAATAAACCAATTCCAGAGTTGTAAATATTCAAGTTATTAGCTGCTGAAAATTAATTGCTAAACATAGTCACGTTTTTATATAAGCATAAACAAGCTCTGATTTCTTAGTAGTTACGTTGTTAATCACGATGTGCCATTTCCTATGACGACCTTCGCGCAGTATTACGCATATTAAGCCATAACATCGAATTAATTATTATTTCTTCCGCCCGTCTAGTTTCTACTAATCACAGTCATATGACTCTGGTGTAATTTTCATCTAATACTGGATTCAATTAACTGTATCGGATTCGCGATGAAAAACAAAAGATAAACACGAAGAATTTGTTAAAAATAATATTAAAATAATTTTTTCGTAATCAGAATATGTTTTATTAAGAGGTATAAACATAGTATATAGTATTGACTAAAATATATTACATTTTAAAATAGTATTGACTAAAATATATTACATTTTAAAATATATTACATCTTTATTGTATTTCAAATTTATAAATTTTAGATTAGAATCAATGATACCGCGATGTCGGTAATGTTGCATACACCGGTAAATACCGATGGAGAAACTCGAGTACTTTCGGATTCCAGCCACTGTGGAATATTTCAACGCATTCCACGGGCTGTCAGACCGAAAGAAGTTAATTATAAGTTACGGGTCGAGGGACGTTGATTGCTACTATTACGTAAGGAATGTTTAGAGAAGCCACGCTTCCTGCTTTTTGTTTTGTGGTTTTGTAGGAAGTGAATTATCGATGCATCAATATTTGTCGTATTTTGTCCTACCAACAGGTTTCAATGAATCGTTTCGTGAATCATTTTGTTTACCTTGAAAAAAGTCATTGAGAAGTAACTACGAGACAGATTGCTGCACATGTACTCGGACTCGACTCGCGCGTGGGTTCTGAAAATCTTTTTAACTCTCTATAGGTCGAATATTTTTGAAAAAATTTATGTAACGTAAAATCAACAAGTATCAACCTATACTACAGATTAACAATGAATTCAGCAGTTCATTTCAAAAATTTTATTATAACGAATAATAAAAAACTGACATTTCAGGATAGAGGTGATACAACATTGTACAACAAGACGTATACGCCATCTTGTGGAAGAAAATTCAATTATTTAATAAAATATCGATATATCAGTATGTGACTTGAAAGTTACGTGAGCCCATAGAGGGTTAATGTTTCATACCGAATGCATTAACAAATGAAAGATAAATGTTAGTTAAAATTGTAAGTCAAGCTTTAGTAAAGAATTGATTTAACTTACGTATGGTATAAAGGGTATAACGCGAAGTTTGACATTGCGAAAGATAGTAAAAGAAGAGGTGATTTAATGAATTTTAATGAATTCCGTAAGGGTTACCGACCGCCTGGTCAAACGTACTCAATGTATTCAAGTACACGTGTACCAACGTGACATTGACCAATTGTGAAGCTGCGAATTGTAGCGTGAGTCGTTATAACCTGTAAGCATCGAAAATTATTTCCGGCAACCGGATCGACGATACATCCTGTTTTATAGTTAACGTGTTTTGCGGTTTCTCAACATTTACGCGGAATTATCATTCGCGTACAAATGATGCATTTTGGTTTTTTTCCAGTGACTTTTTAATTCTTAATTATCTTTTCTCGTTATTTCAATAGAAATAGAGATGGAACACCGCTGATAAAATTCAGATCATTTTAGTTCTGATCTGAAGTTTTATTCGAAATTTTTCAATTACACGAAACATGTACATTTCGTTCGAAAACGATGCAATTGGAAGGTCATGAAAACACAAGTTTCATGATCCGATTAAAAGAAGCCTTCCATGCCGACTGAGCACGCTATTTCAAGAATCCGATGATCTGAAAGGGGACAGGGGAGAAACACGCAAAGCTTATGGCGTATATTTCTATTAAAAAATTACTACCGATGAGATACCCATTGAATTATTATTTAAAAATTTTTGATTGACGTGAGGTTAAAATGCAAATGCACGGATATACGTGTATGTTTAATATATTTACGGGTAAAAATTATGTAAAATCTGTTCGAATAGAACCTGTTCGGTACTATACACGTTTGTACATAGTCGTGAAAAATAAATTTTGCAAATTATCACTGTCTCTCGTTGGGACATTGTTCAAATTACTAGAAATCAGATCGAATGCGAACTTGTGAATTTTAGCGAGTGAATGACAATTGTTTGGTGTCAATTAGAATACCTCACTTGCTTTGCTTCTGTCAGGCACCTTCGGTTGCGAAACCGAAAAGTGCAACAGACAGCACAGATAACAACGAACTACCGGTAGACAGTTATTATTAGAACGAATGTGTTATAAATGATCCGTCTTTATGTACGTATCTTGAATGATGAACTGTTTGTACGGGGATCGCATGTCTCGATTCATCTTGAAACAGTTAAAAATACAGGCTTCCGTGTTTATGAATATTATCAAACATGACAGCTGTATCAAACATGTTCTTGTCGTACGTGATGCGAAGATACTTGGAAAAAAAAAAAAGTGGAAAATTTTCAGATTAAGAAAATTTCATGTTTTATTTCCTCCCCTTCCTCTCTTTTTTTCTTGAATGAATCGACAAGTCAATTTTTATTTTGCAAATATTTTTTATTCCTCGCTTTCGTCATTTGTGTCGTAGCACGCAACGGCAATAAATCAAAAAAACGTCCGATAAAGTTTTGCGACTTCAAGTTGAGTCTTTTTTTCGCTAGTATTTTTCCACTTTTTTTTTTTT